AGACATAAGGCACATTTTCAATCCACTGTTGTTTGCATCACTGCCAATTTGAAAACTCTTCAGTGGGGAAGTCCTTTAGAATAACAACTTTGTTTTAAGGTGATAAACCAAGCAAAAATCTGTTAAGAGATCAAACTGCTCAAAAATACATCTGGAAGGTGGCATTATTAGTTACGCTAGCGTATTAGTTATGCTTGTGCATGTACTGTACTTAGGGAAACAAAAAATAATTAATGTACATCACTGTTTTCATTTTTCAAAACATCTGTCTGTAAAGTTTCAAAAACCACAAAAACAGTGTCAATTTTAATTTGATGGAATTAACAATTTTAATTTTCTTGTTAAATACCCTGATGGTTCTGGGAACGGAAGCAATTAACAAAGGTAATGTAACTTATAAAAATAAAGGAAAATCTGAATCGAAGCCTGAAAGCTACAACTGTAATTAGTTTTAACAATCAAAAGCCCGCTTCCTTTTCTATAACAGTGTGATAACTAACAACCACAAAGGCGTATAATTAAGTATAAAGTAACGGCTATTCCGCTTACGTTTAACAAGCTTTGGACTAGGAAACTGAACCCTGTTCCCATGGCCGAGTTGACCCCAGTCGTTGCTTCCAAATGTGTACAGCTTTCCATTTTCTGTAAGGAAACAGTGCAGGATAAAAAGCATATGGTGAGTACTTCACTGATTACATGTCCACTCAATTTTAATTAAGTCTGTGCAAATAACCTTCCTTTACGTGATCATATTAGTTTTTCATAAGGTTGTAAGATGAACCTCCCTTCCTGCTGTTTTTGCTTGATCAAAGAAAGTAAAATACACAGCTAGCTTGAATTACAAAAAAAAAACCGAGTACGTTTCAGGCGAAGAAATATACAACTGACCTGTCACAACAGCAGAATGTTCGTCCCCACAAGCGAGATAAATAACCGCGTCATCGCGTATCCAAAACTTGTTGTCCAAGAAACGGCTTTTGCCAAACGTAAACACGGCTCCAGAATCTGCAACAATGCAAGGCGAATACATAAAACAGTAGAGTTTGTTTGAAACTTTTCCATATTTCAACTTGTTTAAAAGTTTAGGACACAAGAAGAACTTTGAAACAAGCTAAAATAATCAAAATCAACAAACCTGGCACATCCTCGTCGTCCGACGCCATCTTTGTTTCCACGACGAAGGAACGTGCTGACCAATCAGAGCTTTGCTGATTTGATCCCGCCAAAATTACCTTCGGTTAAAGTCGGGAATAATCGTATGATACTCGGTTCGCCCTTGGTTTTATAGCAAAGACATGGCTTCGCTTGGGTTATTTCGAAGATGTAATCGAGTCAGTTCTTTCCTTTGTCAGGGCTTTAAAGGAACCGATTCTTTGTTCGCTCGTTGTAGAATAGGGGGCATTCTTTCTTCCAAGCGACATTGTAGTGAAAGGTAGGATTGCATTAATCTTGAATTTTTTATAACATGCTTGAGTGCCATTGTCCTTTTCACGCCTTACTTGACTGTTAATTAAAAGAGAGAATTGGTCCGGAATACCTTTAAATTATTGAATATCGAACCTTTATTTGCTAACTGTTTGACAGCCTGATTATTGGTGCTGGCTCCCTCTGGCTTAATAGATGGAACCAGTAAACGTGACGTGTCTTGTAGATTTTTGCTGATTCATTTTATTCAGCAAAGATGATGGTATCACTCCTCTTTAAAGAACAAGAATACAAATTGGAAAAGCTCAAGTTCAAGAAGCTGGAGGTCTATGCAGCTGATCAAAAACAAATCTGAGCTCCAAGAGTTTGAGCCATTACAACATAACTGACACATTTTGAAAAATATATTTTAAATTATTTACAGGAACTGGAACCAATGAGAGGAAAGAAAAGTCTATGTGAATAATCGACTTTCTCTGAAATCTCTTATTTAGTAGGGAAAGTCACTGGAGACAAGGTCGTGTGCCTTTGTGTTCCCGTGTTTGGGTTAGACGAAACTCTTTGGAATGTCTTCGGACATCTTCGAAAATTATCAGACCCCTACGAAAAATCCTGGCACTTTCAGGATAAAAATGTCACGCCTATGAATTAAATTTGTTGTTTTTTGTTGTTGTTTTAAAGTTGGCAGGTTATTATTAATTTTTTTGGCTGAAAAAGGGGTCTTAATAGAGGATTTACAGTACACTATAAACTTATTTAATTTAATCTTATTACATGATTAGCCTATGGCATTATTATTCAACATAATTGCAATTTGGGTATTTTACAACTGAGCAGTGACCCTACGCTACAACACTTGGGTGCCAGCGTCATATTACAACATTCCCAAGTGATGTGTGACTCTAGCCTGGGAAGCAGGGATTTGATTTTTGTTAAGAAAAACTTACATGTGGCAAAGGATGTTATCATTATACTTCTTACCCTCTCAGAGGATGTGTTTTAGTTTGATCACACTGCTACCTCTGGGAGTTCACACCTACATGTAATAAAAACTTTAGTGTGGTTGACATTTTTATAGGATGTTCAAGGAAATGACCTGATGTCCTAAATAAAAAAGTCTCAGCTACAACCTTTTTGGAAGAGGTTATTTTCCAATGCAAAATGCCAATAGTGATAATTCTTCCAGTCTCCTTACTCAATATACCATGCCCAAAAGAGTCTTGACTTGCATTTTAGGGCTGTGCTGTAGCAGAGCCTGAAGACGCCTAGCGACCTTCTTTGTCTTTGGTCAACCAATGTATCTTAGTTCTTGCACAAGTATGATAAGCACCCTGGATTTCGTGGGTTCAGGGTTTTTAAGCTCCCTATGTTTCCCTATGATTTTTTGGGGGAGGGCAGGTTTTGATTGCTACCATAGCTTGTTCTAGCCAAGGTTTTCTTTTTGAGTGAAATTTTACCGTACTATAAGTCAGAAGAGATGTTTTCCTGTCTTAGGGCTGGTTCACAGGGCACCCATCAGTCAGAGAGCTTACAAAAGTAGTGATATTCACTATTTGTCTTGCAGCGGTGGATTTCCATCAGTTGTGGGTCATGATCTTCTTACACTTAAAGATTTCAGCAATTCTGAGATTGGATATCTTTTATGGAGTGCTGCTGATCTCAAAAAAAGAATAAAAATTGACAAAGAGGTAGGAGCCCAACATCATTTTGTTTGGTAAAAATAATTTGACTTTTGTATAATTGTCTGAGCTAGAATGGTAAGTAGACTCTGGTCTAGCATGGCTGCTGAGCCAGCCAACTTGTAGAAAACAGTGACCTTGACAGGGCTCAAAAAAGTCCTGTCCAGTAGTCTGGGGTGAGTAGACTTTCTCCCTGGCAGGTAACTGGTTAAGTTCACTTGCCCAGTGGGCAAGGGCCCAGGTATCCCTGGAGACTCAAAGGCCATCAGTAGGGTTGGGGGAATAACCGCGAAAGTTTAATTAAAACTTTTTGTTACCGTACATATTTCGTGTCTTAACTGACTGCTCCTGGGGCTCTGAGGATGAGGTCCAGGCAACTTGGAAACAATTGAGGTTTCTGGGTAGCTGACCACCTACCACTCTCCTAAGTCAAAATTTTGCCCTAAGAGAGAAGTAAGTGTTAATGTTGACTTAGGAGGGGGGGGGGGGTACCTCCTCAATTGATTCACAAGTTGTCCTCTATAACTAAAGTTTTTTCTATCCCTGCTTAAGAATCTATGATCCTGATGTGGCAAAAATGGATTTGCTGTGTTCAACCCTACTCTAGCTGTATTAAATTGTAACATAATTGGCTAAATTTGCTTTCCATAATCTTGAGTCTACCAAGCAGTAACTTCAAAAGGGCAAAAACTGGCCTTCCTGTCTTCTCCACACACCTTCAAGTTATTTTAACAACTTGGTGCCAAGGGTGACATTTAGGAAACAGGATAGAAACTGCCAAAATGAAGAAAAAGCGTAGGAGTCTTCTTATTGCTAAATCATTATTTCTTTTGCCTTCTGCTATTGTCATCACCTTTGTAAAATTAATGTTCTAACCAGGGATTTTTATTACTAGTTTCAGAATGTACGGCTTTTAGAGGGGAAATCAGCTGCTCTTATTTTTCAGAAGCGCAGCACACGAACAAGAGTCTCAACAGAAACTGGTAAAAATTTGAAAGATTTGTGTTAATGTTCATCGTTTTTTTAATTTCAGTGCAGCAATAATGAAGTTGTGGCTCTTGTCTCGAAGAAGTATTTTAAACTTAATAAACTGTAGCAATTTGTTTCAAACAGACAGGGTTGTCAAAAGTAGCCAAGTGCCAGCAAAAAATCGCCGCCCACTTGGTTAGTATCGGCCGGCATTTTAAACTGCAATTTGTTTCAAACAGAGGAAAACCTCATTGTCATCCACCACTGCATCAAAGAAAATTGACAGATGCCAGTCTGTTATTACTGAGGTGCCTGGTGAAAGATTGAAAGTGCCACAAATGTGTCATTATGCTTGCATTTTATGTTAAATTACTCATGCATTCACAATAAAAATATGACTGTTGTCAGCAGAGGCTACTTTTCACACGCCACTACATCTATGATGAAAGAGTAGTATGGTCGTGATGGGTAGATGTATTTGCCTGAAGGCAGTATGATGTTGTAATGCTCTTGAGGTCTTTTCTAACTATTTTCTTCGCTATACTGTATTTGTATTTCCTAAGATGAGATTTTGTTGTTTAAACTACAATAGGTCTTGCTCTGCTTGGAGGAAACTGTGTCTTCCTTACAGACAGTGACTTTCATCTTGGCGTCAATGAATCTATAAGGGACACTGGAAGGTAAAAATAATTGATAGTTCGTAGTATCTTTAATGTGTTTCACCAAATATATGCGGATTAATTTAGGTTTTTGGGAAACTGCCCACCTACCCCTTCCCTAAGCCATCTTTTTGCCCCAAGTGAGAAGTAAGTGTTAAATATTATGTTAGTTTAGGGGAGGGGTAGGTGGGCAGTTTCCCAGAAACCTAAATTGACCCATTGAAGTGTGCAGCATAAAGCATACCATTCTCATTATTGTCATTATTAATTGGCAACATTACAAGTAGTTAGGGTGATGGACCTGTAATTGGGGTATCTTGTATAGAATTATTCTACAATCCTGCACAAAATAGTTGAAGCACATGGTCGATTTCCAAAGTTCAAAAATTATTGTTCGATTAGCTTTCCCAAACTGGGCTTAATATGGACAAAACTCTTAGGGGCTGAGAGGTCTGCGTTGTGCATGCCCAAAAAATCGTAAGTGTCCCAAGTTTTTTACAGGGGTTGTATTGACGCATCAAAGAGTTGTTTTCAGTGCTCCCATGATAAATTCCTCACTCTGCCCATGATTGTAAATACTCAACTGGTCTGCCTAATGCCACTGAGTGTCCTATGTAAATACAGTTGACCCTTCATTAAGTGGTACCCTCTATTAAGAGGCCAGTAATCAGAGTCCCTAAGTAATAATTGTAGAAAAGAATGGGAGCTCACCCATTGTTGTCACCTCCATCAAGCACTTGATTCACTCAGTTTACCTTTATTTCAAGAATATGATGAAGGAAAACACAGTCCTACTTAGAAGATGGTGATTGCTTGTCGACCAGTAATGCTGTTCCCCTCACGCGTTTGTTTCAAGAATAATAAAGTGCTGTTTCTGTTTATGATTATGCCAATTTCCAGACAAACCTCTAATATTGAGTGGTCAGCCTCCATTAAGCAGCCACTTGCCGGTACCGGTAGGGTGACCGTTAAATGGAGGTTCAACTGTATGTACTATTTAGTACACCAGCATCTGTGGTGTTATTGAATAAATTTAATTTGTAAATATACTTTTTTTAACTCTCTTGCACTGATTTTTACTCAGGGTGCTGTCAGGATATTGTGATTTCATCCTGGCTAGAGTTAACAGGCAGAAAGATCTTGAGGTCTTGGCTGAAGGAGCTACCATACCTGTCATTAGGTAGAAAAATAGTGGTGATAAATATTACAAATTTGTTTTTAGATAAAAAAGAAAAGAAAAGGTGCTGATATATCACCCAATGTCATTTGCCTTAAATTGTGTTTATTATTATTACGTATTATGAGAGCATATTTCAAACATTAGATTGGTTCTAGGAATTCTAGAATTAATATTTGTTCTTTTTCATCTTTTTCTTGAGCCTGCCTCCAATATCAAGATAGCTTCTTGTGGTTTTCAAGAATTGAGTGTATCTTATTTTAACAATTCTGTGATTAGTTGATTGATCAATCAAGTGGCTGCACATTGTTGTAAATTTTTGCACGTTAATTTTTTTGTCTGAGCTGAGGAAAGTGAACATGAACTAATTAACTACTGGTTAAAAAACATGAGCTTTTCTTGATGGCTTAGCGACAAGATACTGTAATCAATTGTAACATTCAGTTAGTGTGTACAAACAAGTAAGACCATGTTGAGTGTTGATTATTAATATTGGAGGACGTGACCATTGAGGTGATTCCACGAATGAGGGGCTGTTAATTAAGTTAATTAAGGGAACACAATAATTATTTTCATCGATAATGGAAGCTCTTTCTCTTACCTTTTAGTGGGCTATCGGAAATGTACCATCCATTACAGATTCTTGCTGATTTTCTAACTCTACAGGTATATTTCAACGCTGACTTACAGCTTAAGGATTATTAGCTTTTAACAGTAATATAAGGGTTTAATGGGACACTGTATTCAGTATTACATGAACAGTTTGTAACAATGCATTGCAAATGGCTGCCAAACTATCACAAAATTACATAATGTGGGGGGTACTTGTGAGGTCTTTATGCTAAATAAAAGGACGACCAGGCTTAAAGAGACAAATTATGAAGAAAATGGGACATAAATAATACACTGTATTTCAAAAAAAAATATTAATCTCTCACTTCAGCTTTAGAAAGACCATAAAGGCCGTAAATGTTGTGGCACATTACTGCCAAATCCAGGGTGTCAAATTGGGGATTTTCACTGATATTGTAGTTGCCAATTTTATTCTACTCACATTGGTGACCATGCAATGAAATATTATGAAAGTTAAAGGGGATTTGTCACGGCTCGCTAGCTCATTTTGTTTATATTAATGCCAGTATTACTTGTCCTTCTTCAAAATGGAACTTATGAAAATTAATTACTGACGAATTACAAAATTACAGCTTTCACATCAAACAAACAATAGGCCATATTATAGTACAGTTATGGATGGAAGCGAGACTGGAGTTCACCTTGTTTTGACACAAACCTTCCTGCTTTATTATTTAAATCAAGTTGTTCTTATGCTGGCTAGAATTTTTCAAGGACAATGTCCATAACAAAGCAAAAGAGGTTTGTGTCAAAACAAGGTCAACCTCAGCTTCACATTCACTTGAAGGCTAGGATACTAAGTCCACAACTGTAAAAATGGTCTATTTGTGTCCCAGGCATTACCGGTATATCAAACGTTACATTAAAAAACAACAACAACCGTCTTTGAAAAACTATTAGGCTTATACGTTTTCAAAGACCTGAATTGCAATCTGTTTCAATGTCCTTCACGTTTCTCCACCTGTTTCTTCTTTTTCTATTTGCTGCGTTATTTATACCTTGTTTTCTGCGGTCCAACTTTTTGAATGTTGATAAATTTCGTAACACAGTAAAATGTACATACAATTATTGTTTGAGGTAACGCTTTTAATGTTTTGTTAATCAGGAGCATTTTGGTAGTCTGTATGGCCGCACAATTGCATGGGTTGGTGATGGTAACAATATCATTCACTCGCTTATGATGGCAGCACCCAAATTTGGAATTCACTTAAATATTGCAACTCCAAAGGTGAGGTACATAGTACTTTAAATTTTCCCCACCCCTTCTTCTGGCCATACTAAATGTTTTATCATTTGTGACGCAGGGCTATGAACCTGATGCAGAAATCTCCAAGATATGTCAACGTTTCACTGAAGAGGTAAGTTATATGGTTTGTGTAGGCCAGAATGGTTCATTTTTACCCTTCCCCTTACGGCCACATATGTGTCAACTCTCTCAGATCATTGCTTAGTCTCCCTGATATGGCACAAATCTCTTGATCTCGAACTCTCTTATAGGTTACCAAATCTCCAAATAAAAATGTCTTTGATTATTTACGGTGCATAAGCCTGAAATTTAATCCTAAAATTCCTTTTCCTTATTTTTTTTGTTTTTTAAATTTGGTACTGCAAAAGAGCTAGTGTCCAGATTTAAACTCTTCAGGAGTTGGCTTCTCATTTTTTTTGTTCCCGGAACTTACTCTTGCGGATCGCTGGTGAAATCGCAAAAAATTTGCTTCCACACGGTAGGCATCCGATTAATTGAGGAGTGCAAAGACTTTAATCACAACGTGTGGAGGAAAATGAGCCGTCAGCTATAGTGTTTCAGAACTCAGTAATAATGCTACCTAATGCTACCTTTTTGGCGGAGCTTTTATAGTAAAAAATAAAATAAAACATAGGACTCGTGATATTAGTCTATGGCAGATATTGTGCACATTATTGATCCCAAATGGCACCTGATCACAGGATGCTCCAGACTTGCAAGCTACTTGTATCTTGGTTTGATAAGGCTAAGCACAAAAAGAGTATTTGCAATCATCACTGGTAAGTCAATTTTGACTGTCAATAACAAGCATTTTAATTGTTATAACAGAACAAGACTTCAGTAAACTTTACTGATGATCCGAGGGAAGCATGTTCTAATGCTGATGTAGTAGTGACGGACACATGGATTAGTATGGGACAAGAAGAGGAGAAGGCTGCAAGATTAAAGTCTTTTTCGGGGTATCAAGTTGATACCAAGGTCTGTTATTTAGATCGTATTTGACATTTGCAAGTTGACATGTAAATTATTCCATTGAATGTGACGTATCGTAGTGAATTACGGTCGTTTCGCCCGAAAGTCGATTCGCGCGAAGACGTGCAACACTCTACACTTTAGAAACGTTTTTTCTAAAGAAATTGATTTGGGGTTCTTTTATGCGTTATCATATCCATTTTGAAATCACTGGTGATCTCTGAATCTGATTGGCTCACGGCAGTGTGATTTATTCACGAGTCACACTATTTTTTTCTCTAAATTACATCTGTTGCAGAATTCTGGTTGAATTATTTTAATAATTACAAGATTGTATCCAGGGCCTACAAAGAAAAATTGGGCGTCCTTCATAAAAGATCAAATTTGCAATTGACGTCTTAGTTGTACAGTGAGGGCAAAGAAATGAACCAAAAAGTGTGATGAAAATGCAAAATTATTTCAGTGTATATTAATTTACGTCTGCGTTGCCGTTCCCTCTGCAGATCTTATGTGTACGCGCTTTCGAATTGTCGAAAAAACGTCTTTGGACAGTGTTTAGTGGAGTAGTACTCTTTAGCTGAGTAAATCAACCCTTTAATCAGTTTGAATAATTCAGCCAGGCTCACGTGTACTTCCTAATGATTGCCATATATTTACCTTGCAGCTCATGTCTCTTGCCAAAGAAGAGGCTGTTTTTCTTCATTGTCTACCGCGGAAACCAGAAGAGGTAACCGATGAAGTTTTTCAGTCTGAAAGATCTCTGGTTTGGCAGGAAGCAGAGAACAGAAAGTGGACAGTTATGGTAAGAAGGGCAGTTTGGATATATAGTGGGCATCTAGTCAGTTCTGGCCCCTCTGTCTTCTCTGGAAGGGTGTTATCCACCTCGACCTTCGGCCTCAACGGATAACACCCTCGATCTCCATAATTTTTTAGGGCCGGGTTGTTCAAAGCTGGGTTAAGTTAACCTAGTTAGTGCAAAATTTGAAGTCAGACAATGATCAGCAGTGCTTTAAACCACACGAAAGCGAGGCAAAAAATGTTCTACTTACATCTGGCGAGATTTTAAGCCCTATCTCAGGCCGGCGGAGTGATCACGGATGATAGTTGTGATTATTTTATAACGGTGGTAATAATTATTATGACAGTGATCGTGCTACTAATGATTATAGTTGTAATCATAACTATAACAAAATTCTCAAATCTGATTGGTTCTCAACTTCCCTGATTTCAGCCTTAATAGGACAGTTTAATAGGACAGTACGCGTCATGCCTAAGTAATTGGACAGTACGCGCCATCACGCGCGCGCTTAAATGCATTTTTTTTTTTCATTGCTAGCGAAAAAATCTTGGAATTTCTTGTGTTTTGATTTTAAAAGAGCCCTATATATCATCAATTTTGTTAAAGTTATGATTAATTGGTAACAGAACTTCGTGTCGTCGAATTCGCTCTGTAATCATACTCGTGATTAAACAAATCGGACTCCCGCTACGCGGTAGTCCGATTTTGTTAATCACTCGTATGATTACAGACCCAACTGGACTCCACTCAGTCCTGTTACCATTACTAATTTGGTAATAAAAATATTCTTTTTCATGTTTTCCCATAGGCTGTGATGGCGTGTCTGATGGAGGATTACAGCCCTATTCATCCTATGCCAGAATTTTAATTCTACCACAATGCCGAATTACAGAACATACCAAAAGAAAAATTCTCATCTAGTAATATATAGCTAGCAAGGTGTCTATACTTTGTTCTCCTCGCTTCGGCGGATATTGTTAGCCTCGGTGTATACGACTGATAAATTGTCTTAAATTAAGGTTCTTGGAAACAATTTCGGGCTATTTTACTGTCGGACAAAAAAGTGTCCCAAGGTATAAAACTTAAAAGTCCTTCAGTCTTGGGCGATGCCATTATACCGTCAAAACCAATATACACTACATGATTTGAATTTGGATTTGGCTTTGTTCAGGTGTCATTTATTTCATAAATGGCAAGAAAATTGTGTGTTTCGTTCATAAAAAAAAAAAAAAAAAACAGGCGTAGATGTACAATTTTAATTTCGAAGTTGTTATTTCTTCGATGTAAGCCCTGTTCTTCAAGCTTGATTGAATGTCTTCGTCGCCGTTTATCATTTTCACATTTTGCTTCAGTCTTACTCATGTTTTGTGGGCGTAAATTTGCTAAAACTGTCCTAACTGGGAGACAAACTGTCCGAAAATCAAACGTCCGAAATGTTTTGCAAGTTAGGTATATTTCAATTGGTGATGGCAACTTCAAAAAATCCCGCATTGTTTTTACACAGTAGTTAAGAGAATTAGATGTAACAGCGCGTGGATTCATTTGACTCTAACAGACCACTTGATTTTATTGCGGATGTGTTTTGCCTTTAAGCCAATTCAGTCATTAGGAACTGGCAACCAAGTTGAGTGAAATATGATACTAACCGCTTAAAACAAAGAAGGAACATTTAAGAGCGGTTTTCTGTAAGGACCGACTAAGGGTATGCAAGATAGAAAAATCCGATTTTCCCAAACTTTGCCAGAGAGAAGGCCTTGATGAACTGTTTCTGAAAATATAACTTTCGGGTCGTTTGGGGTTTTACTTATTTTTTTAGTGAATTTTTTAAATTTTGACCGTTAACGCCGGCTTTAATCACGCCGAAATATGCACTTTTGCAGAAGCTCCCATTAATACCTTGAAACCTTTCATAAAAAGATTAACCAAGCAAATCAAACTATCGTCTTTTCTCAGATTATCGGTGTCGTCAAATGCAAATAAAATGTAAACGTGAAAATTTGACAGATTTTCTAATTTTACACCTTTCAATGGTGATTACAACAACAGTATTTTGGCTAAATTCAAGGCCTAAAAAAGCACTCTGGTACATCGCTTTGACCAACAAAACTATACTACGAGGAAACATTATCATTTCAACTAAACATCGATGAAAAAAAAATTGGGGTAAATGAAACGGCGAGTTCTGAGAGCGTTTTCAAAATGGGTTACCTGGGCCATTTTTGAGCGACCTTTTGAACTTGGAACAGTTCCAAATCAGTCAAGTGTAGTCTCATTATATTTTTAGCAACATTGGATGTTTTGTACTATACTGACAAAAGGCATGGGATATTTCTATAATAGATACTTAAGTGTTAGGATAATTCCTAAATAATCGTACTTACCCTGAATAGTGCTGGGTAAAGTCTCTGGGACTCAAGGTAAAAACGACGCACAGGAATAACGGACCCCGGGGGTACTCCCTTATATGTGCCCCTAGACCGGGTATGGTTTTTGAACTCTCTGTTCTAAACAGGGTATATCATAAACAGAGTATGTATTTTGCAATTTGTTTCTCCTAAACAGGGTCAGGGTTTCAAATCCTCAGCGGCTCACATATACCCTAGTATTGGTCGAGTAACCCCCGGGTTACGGACCCACAAAGACAAATTAAACAAAACTTGTATGGATCGATTCCTTTCTTTTGTTGTCAGCAAAATCCTGTAAGAATTAAGGGAAAATCTAACATCGGGTAGATGAGCACAGATTTAGGAAGCGCTCGTTAAATTAACAATGTTTCTCTCACATCTGCTCTTAGTCTTATACGATCATAACGCTTCCTGTTAATTCTACGTATAATAATTAAACATCGTCAGTTTAAGTGATTATAATACGAGTCAAGTTATCGCTTTGCTTAGAAGTAGTAATTGTAATAATACAATTATTTTCGAACAAAACAATAGATTTTAAAATCCGACGACACGGTCCGCGGAGCGATGGGGGGAGGGGGGATTGCGCAAAATTAGGAATGCGCAAAAGTATGAGGTCACCAGTAGGTACAAGTTTAGAAAGAGGTCAGCGTGTAAATAGAAAAAACTGGAACTGAAGCTTTTTTTATACGTGATGAATCTGACGAGCTAAAATAAACTAGGTGGACAATTTTTTTCCAACAATCTCGCAAAACGAGATGCGGCCCCTCTTGACAACTGTTATCCAAACTGTTAACAGTAATTTGACTCTTAGGCGTTACAGCCGCACCCTTTTACAAGATCCCCTAACGCGGCAAGGTACTCTGCCTTGCGCCTTGGGTTAAATTCTTCCGTGCAGATATCAAAATACTCGCATATGTTCTTCAGCATTGCAATGCTGAGTGTTTTCATGTTACCTTTCTTGGTCAATTCGCAAAGGTTTAGGTTGTCATAAGCGATGGGATGTTCTAGCTGTACTTCCTCTAACACAGCCTGGCGGGTGTCGCAAAACTCTTGTTCATCCTGAGAAGCTTGTAAATCTAAGTCGCTAACCTCTACAGCGTGACGCAACTTGCACGATAATCTTGAAAAGAAAGACTGTATCTGCTGCGAGGTAAGAAACTCACCACTCGAGAACAGCCTCGAACCATCTGCTTTTTTTGCAAAACGCATATCTCTCGCCACTTTCTCAGGGTTTTGTTTGTGGCCTGTTTGCTGTCCAAGCTCAAATTTTTCCTCCAGGTACTTTCTTTGTGATTCGTTAAACCGTGAAGACTTCTTTGCAGTTTTCAACGCCCAACCCTCAGGTAAACTGACACCGTGCTTCTTCTCCGTTTCCCTTCCTTCAAATACTTTTGCAATGCCAATATCGTCCTGAAGGATAGCGTGGTACGTTAATTTAGCCCTGTCCAGCAAAGTCTCTTTCTCCGGAATCAACTCACATTTGCCAAACGACATATGCCTTTCGAGACTCGAGTATCTCTCGTATACCTTGATGCAACCTTCATTTGGGCAGGAGAACAAGACAGAAGCGTCTTTCGTTTCTTCTACTGTCATCGTTTCATTGGGTCTTGGCTTCTTTGAGGCTTCCTTGGATACTTTTACAAAGTCACCAGGGGAAAATCGGCAAGTAAATTTGCAGCTTTGCAAGACATCAGCAACTAAAAAAGCGAACATTGAAATGGAAGTCTTTTTTAATTTCAGATGAAACGTTTTTCGCGTCTTTTAAAGGTTTGTTAATTCATCATGTGCACAACTGACTGAGTTGTCTATAGTAGCCATTAGTATAGACTCTCTCATACTCTGTTAATGTTGCCCGTTATCCGTAATTATTAGCGGACTAAGTCAGTGAGTATTTGCAACACTCCAATACAGTACATTTATATATCACTATGCCCGTATTTTTTTTTACCTTGAACTTTCGTTTGGCTGATCTCCCTTCCATTTCCGACGTTGAAAGCTCTCCAAACTGTCAACTTGTCTTTGCAGTACTCAAAGTTGTTTAACGTGCTGATACCATCAAGTTTGACTTGAGGCAGTTCACAGGCAGAAACGGCAGCATTAACAACAGTAACGCGAACCCCGGTGACACCCCCATTAGACAGGATAGCTGTTTGAAGCTGTTCAGCATTTTGCACGTCGTGGCCCTCATTTACATACCTGCGGACATGGGCCTTGATAGTGGCGGCTTTTCGGTCACAAGCCCCCTTGCCTCCTTGAGGGTCACTGAAATCTACTCTGCAAACGTCTATCCCAGTGTTTGCCTTCATTAGGGTGCATGATGCTATTACAGCAGAACTGTGATAACATCCCGCGTTATCTTGCCGTAGAAATGCTCTGTTGATTCTAGGATTCTCCTCTTTCAGCGACCTTAAGGTGTGCTCAATAATTCGCACTACAACTGAGCTGTCTTGTGATGTATTCTCAACTATGTGGACGAAGGACTGACTTTCTAAAAGCCCTCTCATTTTTCTTGCGATGACACTTATATGCCACGATATTCCTCGTTTCCCGTACCAATCTGATTGGTTTTCTCTATATTTGAGCGGTAAAAACTTCATAGCCCAATCTTGTGTTATGAGTACAGAGGTCTCATCTAAAGCGCTCAAGCACGCCGTCCTTGCTGTATCTTGCCTGACACACCTGAGTTGATGTGCTTTCCAGGAGTGGATTGCCTGGACTGCATGACTACGCGTGTACAAGACGTCTTCTAGTTCTTCAGGTACAAACGTTGACTCAGTCAAGAATGTTTTCATTGAAAAGAGAACATTACTGAGACTTTCACACTGAGAACACTGAATGTCATGATTATGAGAGCATTGGGATCTTAGTTCATCGTCCTTACTATCGCTGAGAGCGTATCCGCTGCAATGGTCTGCAACCGAGGAGGACTCGGATACATGAACCTTCAAAAAAGACAAAGTAGTAAATTTAGTGACCGTTTGAAGTTTCTGAGCTTTCATCTATTGTACGCGCAATATTTTTGCCAAGTTTGGTTAAAGCAATTAGAAAATATGAATCTTTGGCAGAATAAAGTACACACCTAGCAAGGCGAAGACGGTCGCCAGTATAGAGAGCGGTGTTCTTTTGCCCAACAATAGTATAATTAGTTTGGAAAAGAACCCACCTGATTTAATTAAGCCCTCACGACAAAGTTAACAGATTTTGCCATTTTGCCAGTCTCGTGGCAGTTCGTTATATATTCCGGTTTACTTTCAGTTAACCATGTTTTAAACCGTATCTGATACCTTATAATCAGCCTTCAGATACTGCTTGCCTTCCCTCAGAGACACTTCCCATTTTTTGGCAGTCTCTCTGTCCAGACCTCTCTCTTTAAGTTGGTCCACTATTCCACACAAAGCTTCAAACCCTTTCGCGCCATCCGAAGCAATGTAGTCGAGCCCTTGCAAGGACTTCCTTACGGTCGCCCCGCAGGCAGACAGGACTCTTAACATTGTTGTTGGGCTGAATGGAGTGAAATTCGTCTCCTCGCAATAAGCCTGGTACTGCTTTACTAGCCTGTTAGGGATCATCGCCCTAATGACATTTGGGGTTTCTAATATCTTTCCAGAAGATAGGCGGAGATATCGCTGCCCAAAAGGAAGATCCTGGATAACGTGCGGGCTAGTTATGTAAGTCAAAAAGTGATCCAACTGTTTATTTTCTACTCTCATCCTAGGACTTTTTGCTCGGGCTAGCAAGGCACCCCTCCCATATTGAAGAGAGTGCTGTCTCGCCATTTTGAACCGGTATTCGGTGATCCCTGGAATGTAGTTTAGGATACGCTTAAACGTTATCAGGTCTGCCATGATTGATAATATCTGACGCCTTGTTTCCCAAGTAGATGCGTTTTGGTAAGACTCCGCCAGTGCCTTTAGATATTTTCGGTCTTCTTGTCGTTCACCGATGCCAAGTACCTTCTCGACTGAGCCAGATTTTTTCACGGCCTCCCAGAGGTAGCCTGCGTCTCCTGGAGCAATAACGTTAAGGCCAGAAACAATAACTGACTTCGCCTTTGACACATGGCTTGCTCTAGTACGTTCGCTGGCTGCCTCCCATCGCTTTTTGTTTGACCCGACTGTGTGAGCATTACATGAACGTAAGAAATCGTTCAACAGAGAACGTCTTTTTGCTTTAATTTGTGGATCATCGCCGTTAGAACTCTCGCTGCTGCTGCTCGCTTGAGAGTCCGTTTGATACAGGCTAGTGTCGATCTCGGAGTAGTGTCCTGATTCGTCAAGCTGTGGATGAGAGTATTCGTCTCTTATGGTCAGGTGGTGCATTGACTGGCTAACGTTGTCTTCAACTTCTTTACTCTCCACATCTTCTCTCTGTACGCGTTAGAAAGGAAAATGAACTAGTTAGCGCAGAAAAATTTATAAAATCGATGTCGCCGCTGTAGAGCGAATGACTTTTTTAACCGCGTACATATCACCACTGCAATGATATGTAAGTGTTCTCGCATCAATACATGATATAAAGGAGTAGTATGCAAGGAGGCTGGGGTCATCAAAAGTGAAGGGGAGGAAAACTCGCCTTTTGCTGAACCTCACTAAACTATTAAAAGCCACTCGGACAAGGTTATAATCTGTTATGTTCATGCCATAGCTATACCATATAGCTCTATCTACCTGTGCGATATTTTGTGATACCCGCTCTTCCGGTTTGTCTACGTTAGATCCTAAAGCTTCTGTGGTCGATTCTGAGCTGGGAAATACTAATAACTGTGATGCTTCTTCCAACTTTCTCCTGCATTGCTTGCAGATTTCTGAAAAAAATAGTGGATTGCAGAACATTACTCAGAAAATCTGTGCCAAACTCTCATAGCTTCTGTTTTTGCTCATGATGCTCTTCGTTTTTGAAATATTGCAGCTATGTGTTGAAACTGTTCGGTAACACGTTTCTTGATTTAAAGATTTTAGGGGGCGGGGGTATATCCGATAATGAATTTAAAATACAAAAAATGGCAGTGGAGGAAATTGAAACTGCCATTTTTTTACGCTCTAAACCCGGCAATGTTGTAAAATATCACTACAGGTTTAACACTCACGGGAGCCTACAGGAAGCAACACTTGGGTTTGCTGGTAGAGTAGCTTGGAATGTAGAGACGATATTCCTCTCTAAAGTTCCATGCGATGACCATTCACTGGGAGCAGTGCATATCCTCTTATTTGAACGCCATCTAATGCCAAATTTGTCTCGATGTCTTGGGCATATTGTTAGTTCAAGGTGACTTTCGTTTAACTCAAAAATCCCTTCAAAGATAAAAAAGGTTGTAAGGTGACTTTTACTTAACAATTTTTAGCGTATATATCACAGCGTCGTTCGCATTTTATTCGCTTCCTCCACGTCTTTCGTTAATTTATGCACCAAAAGATAAATCAAATGCTTTATTTTTAATTTTTCTTTGGACGTCCAGTCATCCCAAAAGCAGTTTTTGTTCCTCACTTTTGTAAAGTTCCTGTGAAACAAACAAGGCTGTAATGCTCGCGATAAATCTGAGATGGTTTATAAATGTAGGCAATATTAATAATTTTTTTAAAAATAAACTTCTCAACGCACTGAAGTATTAATGATCAGGAATAAGTTTACATTTTGCGTGTTTACTGAGAAACACGGAGGCTTTTACTTTTGCGTTTTGGCTCAGCTCAGATGTTCTGATATTGATCTTAATTTGATTAAGTCGGCTACTGCACGGGTTAATTATCACTCATATCTTTGTCAGTA